CGAATCGGTGGACGGGGGCACAATTATGATGTGGTATATCTCGACTTTAGCAAAGCCTTCGACAAGTCCCCACGAAGACTAATTAGAAAAGTAGAAGCTCGTGGCATCAAGGGTAACGTCATGAAATGGATTGGACGTGGTTACAGGATGAGGAAACGAAGGTGAGTATTAACGGCACAGAAATTCCCATTGAACAACGTCACAAGTGGAGTTCACGAGCTCAGTACTTGGACCATTGTATTTATTATATGCATAAACGACATGAATATCATGTAGACAGCAACATGATAAATTTTGCTGATGACACTAAAATAGGACGTGTTAATGCGTCTGACGAGGGCTGGCAAACTACAGGAAGATCTAAACAAATTTTCGAATGAATCTGAAAAATGGCAGATATGAAATTCAACGTGGATGATGAAATTACTCGGTATAGGAGATGTAAACAGAAACCAGATACCAGATGAACAACGATGCCATAGAAATCCGACTGCGAGAGATTTAGAATAATGATAAAGTAGAAAGAACCTTAAGCCAGTAAACAATGTGTTTTGCTCGTAACAAGGCTAATAAAGTGCCGGGTTCATACAAAGTGTTAGTTACAAAACTAGCGGGGTCATCTAAAACTATATCTTGGGCTTGTGAGACCTCCGCATACGATTACACGTTCCAGTTCTGGTCACCGTATTACAGAATGGATATAGAATCATGGAAAAAGAATTCCAGAGGAGAATAGCAAAGGTGTCCAGGGCATTAGGAACCTTGATTATGAGACAGGTTAAAGCATCTTGGTGCACTCCTCGAGACGTGGAAGGGGCGACCTGATAGAGGTGTACAGAGTGGAAGGCAGACTGAAACAAAGGGGACATTACAAAATTACTCCAAGCTGCTAACGCCAACCAGGGCGAACTCGTAACAATAGTTTTAAATTAGACAAGAGAATTTAGATTTAGGCGGGAAATAGAGTAAACACTGGTTTGGAAACAGAGTGGTGGATGAATGAACAATACCAAATATCATCATTAACTCAGAATACTGTTAGCTTCAGAAACATAGGTTGGATGCTGTATGGGCAATAAGGGGTTGGGTGTAAATGGGACTGCCCAGTATGGGTAATAGGCCCGCTGCGGTTCTTCCATTCTGTATATTTCTTATGTTCTTATAATAAGGCCTGACGACTGAACACTCATTGGCGGAAAGTACGTGACGCCACTCGGGAAATTCCTCCCTAAACTTGTTTCTCGTTCCTGGAAAAACACAAGTCGAGAATCCGTATTTGTATTTCTTTATTGTTTAACACAACAACATATTATTGATACTAGCGGTATGTGAAGACAAAGAAACACTCTACAACACCTGTACAGCCGTGTCACAGGTGTAATAACAGTACAAAGTTGCTGTAGTTGTAAGTGAAGAGAGGAACTGACCTGTGAGGTGTGATCGTGACGGCAGCGACAGGTAGACTGACTCGGTGTAACTAGGGGCCAATTGCAAGAACAGTCGTGGGGTGTACGGCGCCATTTACGATGACCTTCTTGTCCTGATCTTGTTTCAGTTATACCACCCTTTTGAAGCTCTGGAGAGATCTCCAAGTTTCGATATTTTGAGTACAGCACTAGCTAATAATTCCCACCAGGAAACTTGTTTCGAGACTCCTCCAAAGCTTCGAAAAGTGCAGAATTCCATGTGTTAAAGGCGATATTGCTGAAAAAAGACCAGGGCAAGAAGGTCATCGTTAATGGCGCCGTGCACCCTATAACAGTTTTGACGTTAGTTCTGAAGCAGTTTAGTGTTGACTGCTTCACGTTTCGGCTATTTCTTTCTTATTCTTCTTTCTTCTATCACACTACTCATTGGTTCTTCTTTCGTCTCTTCTTCTACTTCTTTATTTCTTCTTCTTCGTTCATTTATTTTATTAATTAAGAGGAATTGTTTTTCTTAATGGGATGTCATCTGTCCAAACTTATTACCTGTTGACCAATCCTACCACAAATTACTTCCACATTTTACTAATTAACTTACCTGTGGAGCTGTTATCTTTACATGTTATCTTACCACACTCTGTAAGGAGTTGATATATTTTTCTAATATATACTTCAGTAATAATGTATAATAATTGAAGGGTTGATGGCCATAAGTGATGATAAATATTGGTAACATGGAAACTGAACTGAGGAGTGTTTCCCCAGTGCTGTGATGCCGACCACCTGACTCTCTCTCTCTCACACAGTGACGTAGGTAGAAGGCAGCTACCAAACAGGGAGGTACTGGGAAGATATTGGAACCATAATGTGTTGTCTAATGGTAGACCCTGCTGCCATATGTGACCAAGTCCCAGGTAGATGATCTGACTTCCTGCCTCATTTACACACAATTGCAGGGTCTCAATTGTTTCCCTGGCAACACAACACAACATACATATATTGTTTCACACGCTTGATCTTTTTTTTAATTTATTTGTTTTTGTTTTTATTATTTATTATTATTACCCTCCACGCCCCGATGTAGAGGCGTGACCTGAGGCTGGGTGGGCTAATCCCCGAAAACAAAAGGATAGTTATATCATGACTCTACTTTAATTACAGGTATATGACAGCCTTCCTGCCTTACTCACGTTGTCAACAAGTCATATGTAAACACTGACGTCACTAGGGAATTCGTTATAGGATGTAAACAATGTGTGGAGAGACTTATCGGCACCCACGGAGGTAACAGCCACCAGCGCCACCAGCGCCACGGCGGCCATCACACTAACTACTTGACCCATGATCCTCAGCAGGTAAACAACTGTTGCCCACACTCACACACTACCCAGAACCTGAGACCATCCCCATACACACACAGTCTCTCCTAACGGGCCAGTTTGCATGGGATTAACACCTTTGAAGGATGATTCACATGACGAGAGGTAATAATACAACGACTGTTAGTTAATTGGTATTTACTGAGTGACAGGTGAAGCACACAATAAGAGTGAAGTGAGAGGCTTCAGTCAGGTGGATCAGGAGCAGTAGTGACTGTCTGTGTGTTGACTGATGGCCTTTCAGTCAAGGTTCAGTCTTCATCGACACCTGTAACAACAACACCATTTAACACACCTGTAACAACAACATTTAACACACCTGTAACAACAACATTTAACACACATGTAACAACAACACCATTTAACACACCTGTAACAACAACATTTAACACACATGTAACAACAACACCATTTAACACACCTGTAACAACATTTAACACACCTGTAACAACAACATAAACACACCTGTCTCTTATGTTGCTAGAGGACAAATATAATATAATACAACATTAAGTAAACACACACACACACACACACACCTTACCTTCTCACTGCTCGGTACCTGGGTCGTCCTCACAGGGGCCCACACGCTCCAGTTCAAGGTGAGGATTCGTACACACGGTTACGCCAAAGGAACACATGTTGACGTAGGTGATGCCGTCTGAACCACACACAGGATCGTAAGATACTGAACATATTCGAGTGCAATAACTTTCTGTAGGGTTAAAGTGATGTTGATGGCTTTAGTATTGTTTTGACTGTGATGGTTTGAGTGGTAACTGAGGGAGGGTTGGCTTGGGTTGGGTTAAGATGTCTTGAGAGTGATGGTGGTAATGTTATTGTTGGTGTTTTTGCGTAGGTTGATGCACAAAGACATAATTTGTACACTTAACAACAACATTCTGTATATAACAATGAACAACAACAAAACAAACAAACAGTTATGGAGAAATAAATCATAAAAGTCAAAACCAAACAGGAAACTGAACCTACTTGGAGCAGCGGCCACCAGCGCCACCAGCAACACGGCGGCCATCACACCAACTACTCGACCCATGATCCTCAGATGTAAACAACGTCTTGATTCTGTAATACACCTGAAGATGATTACCTGTTGTTACCTGTTGAGTGTGTTACCTGTTGTGTGTGTTACCTGTTGTGTGTGTTACCCGTTGAGTGTGTTACCTGTTGAGTGTGTTACCTGTTGTGTGTGTTACCTGTTGAGTGTGTAACCTGTTGAGTGTGTTACCTGTTGAGTGTGTTACCTGTTGAGTGTGTTACCTGTTGTGTGTGTTACCTGTTGTGTGTGTTACCTGTTGAGTGTGTTACCTGTTGAGTGTGTTACCTGTTGTGTGTGTTACCTGTTGAGTGTGTTACCTGTTGAGTGTGTTACCTGTTGTGTGTGTTACCTGCTGAGTGCGTTACCCATTTGTGTTACACAGGTCAACTTATCCAACATTACAAAAATAATTTTTAAAATACAAGACGAAACATTATTAAAGTTGACGAAATATTAAGCCATTATTCACCTATTGGAACACATAGTGAAGAAAACAAATTAAGCGAGATAGTAGTGACTAGTAACGATGTTAGTAAGCAAATAGACAAACTAAAGCCTAATAAGTCACCTGGTCCCGATGAGATATTTGCCAGAGTATTAAAGGAATGTAAGGAAGAGCTTAGTATTCCCTTAGCAAAGTTGTTTCACATGTCCTTAAAAACAGGTGTAGTACCAGAATCCTGGAGGATAGCGAATGTAATACCGATTTTCAAGAAGGGGGATAGATCACTATCCTCTAACTACCGCCCAATCAGTCTAACATCAATAGTAGGCAAATTAGTGGAAGCTTAATCATTTCAAACTCTATTCCGGAAATCACCTGGAGGAAGCACCGATTGATCAATGATTCCCAGCATGGCTTCTAAGCGGACGTTCTTGTCTAACTAATCTATTAACATTCTTTTCATCAGTTTTTCGAATCGATTGGACGAGGGCACAATTATGATGTGGTATATCTCGACTTTTAGCAAAGCAACTGACAAGTCCCCACGAAAGACTAATTAGAAAAACAGAAGCTCAATGGCATCGAGTAACATCTTAAATGGATTGGGGCGTGGTTACAGGACAGGAAACAGAAGTGAGTATTAACGGCACGAAGTCCCATTGGAGCAACGTCTGATGGGAGTTCCCCAAGGCTCGATACTTGGACCATTATTATTTATTATATCGCAAACATATGAATATCGGCATAAAGACGAAAACTTGTATCGTGGTGCTGATGACTTAAAATAAGACGTGTTATTAAATCTGACGAGGACTCAACAAAACTACAGGAAAGATCTAAACAAATTTTTCGAATGGTCTGAAAAATGGCAGATGAAATTCAACGTGGACAAATGTAAAGTACTCAGTATAGGAGATGTAAACAGGAAACCGTTAGATGAACAACGATGCCATAGAGAAATCCGACTGAGAGAGATTTGAGAGTAATGATAAATGAGACGCAAGCCAAGTAAACAATGTGTTTTGCTCGTAACCAAGGCTAATAAAGTACTTTGGGTTCATAAAGGTAGTGGTTACAAAACTAGTCGTCTAAAACTATATCTTTGGGCTTGTGAGACCTCACTTGGATACGCAGTTCAGTTCTGGTCTTGCGTGTTACAGAATGGATATAGAATCCTTGGAAAGAATTCAGAGGAGAATGACAAGACTAATCCGGGCATTAAGACAGCCAGAGTATAGAGACAGGTTAAGCATCTTGATTGCACTCCCTCGAGAGACGTAGAGCGAGGGGGCGACCTGATCGGTGTACAAGTGGAAGGCAGGGGCTAAACAAAGGGACATTACAAAAAGGTGCTCAAACTATCCAACCAGGAGCGAACTCGTAACAATGGTTTTTAAATTAGACAAATTTAGATTTAGGCGGGAAATAGGTAAACTGGTTTGGAAACAGAGTGGTGGATGAATCGGAACCATTAACTCAGATACACTGAATAGCTTCAAACATAGGTTGGATGCTATTATGAGCAATAGGGGTTGGAGTGTAAAGCAGGACGCAGTATGGAGCTAATGAGCCCGCTGCAGTTTCTTCCATTCTTATGTTCTTATGTTCTTCTTATAATATGGCCTGACGACTGAACGCTCATTAGCGGAAAGTACGTGACATCATTAAATTCTCCTAAACTTGCTTTCTCGTTCTTGGAAAACACAAGTCGAAATCCGTATTGAAATATTTCTTTATTATTTTAACACAACAACATATTATTGATACTAGCGGTGTCGTGAGCAAAAAGCACTCTACAACACCTGTACAGCCGTGTCTGCGATTGTAATAACAACAAAGGTGCCTTAGTTGTAAGTGAAGAGAGGAACTGACCTGTGAAGTGTGATCGTGACAGCAGCGACAGGTAGACTGACTCGATGCGCTCAGATAAATTAAAACAGTCGTGGGGTGTGTGATGACCTTCTGTCTGATCTTGTTCCCAGTTATACCTTTTAGGCTGGAGAGATCTGAGTTTCTGATGTACAGCACTAGCTAATAATTCCCACCAAGAAACTTGTTTCGAGACTCCTCCAAAGCTTCGAAAAGTGCAGAATTCCATGTGTTAAAGGCGATATTGCTGAAAAAAGACCAGGGCAAGAAGGTCATCGTTAATGGCGCCGTGCACCCTATAACAGTTTTGACGTTAGTTCTGAAGCAGTTTAGTGTTGACTGCTTCACGTTTCGGCTATTTCTTTCTTATTCTTCTTTCTTCTATCACACTACTCATTGGTTCTTCTTTCGTCTCTTCTTCTACTTCTTTATTTCTTCTTCTTCGTTCATTTATTTTATTAATTAAGAGGAATTGTTTTTCTTAATGGGATGTCATCTGTCCAAACTTATTACCTGTTGACCAATCCTACCACAAATTACTTCCACATTTTACTAATTAACTTACCTGTGGAGCTGTTATCTTTACATGTTATCTTACCACACTCTGTAAGGAGTTGATATATTTTTCTAATATATACTTCAGTAATAATGTATAATAATTGAAGGGTTGATGGCCATAAGTGATGATAAATATTGGTAACATGGAAACTGAACTGAGGAGTGTTTCCCCAGTGCTGTCATGCCGACCACCTGACTCTCTCTCTCTCACACAGTGACGTAGGTAGTAGGCAGCTACCAAACAGGGAGGTACTGGGAAGATATTGGAACCATAATGTGTTGAATAATGGTAGACCCTGCTGCCATATGTGACCAAGTCCCAGGTTGATGATCTGACTTCCTGCCTCATTTACACACAATTGCAGGGTCTCAATTGTTTCCCTGACAACACAACACAACATACATATATTGTTTCACACGCTTGATCTTTTTTTTAATTTATTTGTTTTTGTTTTTATTATTTATTATTATTACCCTCCCCCCCCCCCCCGCCCCGATGTAGAGGCGTGACCTGAGGCTGGGTGGGCTAATCCCCGAAAACAAAAGGATAGTTATATCATGACTCTACTTTAATTACAGGTATATGACAGCCTTCCTGCCTTACTCACGTTGTCAACAAGTCATATGTAAACACTGACGTCACTAGGGAATTCGTTATAGGATGTAAACAATGTGTGGAGAGACTTATCGGCACCCACGGAGGTAACAGCCACCAGCGCCACCAGCAACACGGCGGCCATCACACTAACTACTTGACCCATGATCCTCAGCAGGTAAACAACTGTTGCCCACACTCACACACTACCCAGAACCTGAGACCATCCCCATACACACACAGTCTCTCCTAACGGGCCAGTTTGCATGGGATTAACACCTTTGAAGGATGATTCACATGACGAGAGGTAATAATACAACGACTGTTAGTTAATTGGTATTTACTGAGTGACAGGTGAAGCACACAATAAGAGTGAAGTGAGAGGCTTCAGTCAGGTGGATCAGGAGCAGTAGTGACTGTCTGTGTGTTGACTGATGGCCTTTCAGTCAAGGTTCAGTCTTCATCGACACCTGTAACAACAACACCATTTAACACACCTGTAACAACAACATTTAACACACCTGTAACAACAACATAAACACACCTGTAACAACAACATTTAACACACCTGTAACAACAACATAAACACACCTGTCTCTTATGTTGCTAGAGGACAAATATAATATAATACAACATTAAGTAAACACACACACACCTTACCTTCTCACCACTGGGTCCCTGGGCCGTCCTCACAGGTGCCCCTATGCTTCAGTTTAAGGTGAGGATTCCTACACACGCCTATGTCAAAGGAACACATGTTGCTGTAGGTGATGCCGTCTGAACCACACAGAGGAACGTATTCAAGTGTACATATTTCACCACAATTATTTCCTGTAGGGTTAAAGTGATGTTGATGGCTTTAGTATTGTTTTGACTGTGATGGTTTGAGTGGTAACTGAGGGAGGGTTGGCTTGGGTTGGGTTAAGATGTCTTGAGAGTGATGGTGGTGATGTTATTGTTGGTGTTTTTGCGTAGGTTGATGCACAAAGACATAATTTGTACACTTAACAACAACATTCAGTATATAACAATGAACAACAACAAAACAAACAAACAGTGATGGAGAAATAAATCATAAAAGTTAAAACCAAACAGGAAACTGAGCCTACCTGAAGCAGCGGCCACCAGCGCCACCAGCAACACGGCGGCCATCACACCAACTACTCGACCCATGATCCTCAGATGTAAACAACGTCTTGATTCTGTAATACACCTGAAGATGATTACCTGTTGTTACCTGTTGAGTGTGTTACCTGTTGTGTGTGTTACCTGTTGAGTGTGTTATCTGTTGTGTGTGATACCTGTTGAGTGTGTTACCTGTTGTGTGTGTTACCTGTTGTGTGTGTTACCTGTTGTGTGTGTTACCTGTTGATAGTATTAAAATGAAAGAAAATGTGGTAGGTGTGTTATTGGCCCATACTAGGCAGTCCCATTTACACCCAACCCCTATTGCTCATATATCCATCCAACCTATAGTTGAAGCTATCCTGCGTATTAGAGTTAATGATAATGTTTGGTAACTTGTTGCACTCGTCCACTACTCAATGTTTACCTATGGCTCATCTAAATCTAAATGTCTCTAATTTAAAACCATTTTTTATACACTTTGATTCTGTCGTCCCTCACTCTTCATCTCTCAATAAAATACAGATTGATAATATCTAAACTGCCTCTATACTCAAGGTTTGTAATGCGTGGGAATAGTCTTGTTATCCTTGGTACCTTCGTCTCTCCTATTACTAACTCCCCTTCATATGAACCCAACTGCCTCGTTAGTCTTGTGTCGTACATAAACGCATTACTGTTTAGGTTTAATGTTCCTACTTAACATTATATCTAAATCTTCGCATTTCACTATAACTGCGTTGTTCAGCTGTTTCCTAGTGTCCGTTCCTTGGCCTCTGAACTTTATATCGTTCTACGTAAAATTGCATCTGCCATTTTTCGTTCCATACTAAAAAGGTTGTCCTCATCAGATTTAATTACACGTCCTATTTTAGTGTCATTAGCAAATTTACTTAAGTTGCTGTCTACGCCGATATCTATGTCGTTTATGATTATAATAAATAATAAAGGTCCAAGTACTGAGCCTTGGGGAACTCCACTATCGACGTTACCCCAATCGGATGTAGTGCCGTTAATGCTCACTCGCTGTTTCCTATCCTGTAACCACGACCTAATCTATTTTAGAATATCTCCTCCAATGCCATGAGCCTCCACTTTTCTTATTAGTCTTTCGTGGGGGACTCTGTCGAAGGCTTTGCTGAAGTCAAGATATACCACATCATAGTCGTGCCCCTCGTCCACTGATTCGAACACAGATGATAAAGAATGTTAATAGATTTGTCACATGGAAACGACCTGTAGTGAAGCTCTGTTCTATGTGTAACTTGTTGTGTGTGTTACTTACTGTGTGCGTTACTTGGAGTATGTGTTACTTGTTGTGCGTGTTACTCGTTATGTGTTACTTGTTGTGTCTGTTACTTGCTGTGTCTGATACTTGTTGTATTTGTTACTTGCTGTGTGTGTTACCTGTTGTCTCTGTGTGTCTATACGTTACCAGATGACTCACTACACCACAGTATACTCGCCTTGAAGGAGGTGTTTCCGCGACCCAGTCAGAACCAACACAGAGACGCTCTGCTCCGTTCACCCTCATCATATACACCCGGACCTCCTGCTGTTTGGAGGGGGGAGAGGGGGGGCTGTCGGGGAGGGGTAACCAGGTAGTGCAAATAATCTCTTTTAACCACCACCTACAGTATATACGGTTCACATTGTTACATCCTTATTACCGGAACTGAATCAATTGCAATAATGGTACAACAGCGCCGCCTGCCGTCTGGGGACGGAACTACATAACAATGCACGGTCCTGATGCGAAATTTTTAGTTCCAATAATTTACATTTCATTACTAATTTATCTTATTTACTTCTGTCTACAAATACACACACATGCATGCACAAACACATGCACACACACACAGACAAAGACATTCATACATACATACATATACACACAGGCAAACACACATGCATGGTTATGGCAGTAAGTGGATGAGGACGTTGCTCCAGATGAGATGATTGATGAGTTATGTGTTATTCCTCTGGTGCCACCGTAGATGACCTTGGAGTCCAATCCTGGAGGCGCAGATCTTGTTGCATAGGTGACGGGGATGTTGTTCATTGAGAGGAATTATGCCTTGAGCCCTCTGATGCCGATGGGTTCGTTTAGTAGCTCTCTTTTGGTTCATTGAGGTCTCAAGTGTTTCCGCTCCTCTATGGCATGTTGAGCGCCATAAGGAACGGTCTGAGGCTAGTTGCTCCAGTGAATTTGGTTGTATATTACAGCACTTGAGTAGAGTTTTAGAGTGGTCCTTATACCTCTTTTTCTGTCCTCCCGCCGACCGGTTTCCATGTGAGAGCTTGCCATATCATATTTGTCTTGGATGCCGGTGGTCTGGCATCCTGATAACATGTCCAAGCCAGCTCAAGTGTCTTTTGGCTAGCATGGTTTCAATGCTGGTCGTGTTTGAGCGACGATATAGTTCTTCACGAGTCACTCTATCTTCCCAGGATGTTCCAAAGATACGCTTAAGGCATCTAGTGTGGAAGTTTTCCAGCATTTGAATATGGCGTCTGTTGGGCGTCCAGGTTTCTGAGGCATATAATAATGTAGATATACAGACAGCGAGATAAACTGCAGTCTTCAAGATGATAATGAGATGATGAGGATGACTGGAGCAAAGGACCTGCGCAATGAGTGGATTTTGAGTGGGGATGATGGAGCGCAAACACCACTCCCACGACCTTGGCCTCCCCCAGCAACTGTCGGTGGCATAAGAGGCCCATGACGACCGACTGCTGAGCAGGGTCGCAGGAGTCTGTCGAGAACGAGTTTTATTGCGCTTCGCCTATTGCGTGTCTCCGAACACAGTTTTTTCGTGGGACAGGGGTTGGTGGGTGCCAGGACATGTCCACACGCCGGTGGGCCTGCACACCGCACCTCTGGGGCCCCCTGCTGCTCCACACACATAAACACAATAATAAATACATACACACACACAAATACATTCATACACACATACACACACACAAGTACATTCATACACACATACATACACAAACACATTTATATACACACAAAACATACACATACGCCCATACACACAGATAAACACAATCATACACACACACATGTATATACACTAGGGTTCATGTGTGACAACAAGGGAACAATGGCTAACACACAGGAAGTTTATTAATACTCAGGGAAATGCCGACGTTACCACCATTTCCTTTTAATTTCATCTGTTTCAATATTTTTCGTTCAAGCAGACGAAAGTGTGTGTGTGTATGTGTGTGTGTGTGTGTGTGTGTGTGTGTGAGTGTGTGTGTGTGTGTGTGTGTGTGTGTGTCATTGTTCTCTCTCTCTCTCTCTCTCTCTCTCTCTCTCTCCATTCGTTACTGTTCCCACGACTCTGTGTGGGACAAACTCTTACACCCACAGCAGCATGTGTCCTTTTGAAATGGCCCAGTGTCTCAAACAGAGCCTCGGCATCCTTCACCCAGGCTTGATGGTGTCACGCGGGTAGGTTGGTAGCTCCTGCTTGCCCCTGCTTGATGGTGTCACGCGGGTAGGTCCTGCTATCGCCTGCTTGCCCCTGCTTGATGGTGTCACGCGGGTAGGTTGGTATCCTGCTTGCTGCTTGATGGTGTCACGCGGGTAGGTTGGTATACTCTGCTTCATAGGTGATGGTGTCACGCGGGTAGGTTGGTATCGCCTGCTTGCCCCTGCTTGATGGTGTCACGCGGGTAGGTTGGTATCGCCTGCTTGCCCCTGCTTGATGGTGTCACGCGGGTAGGTTGGTATCGCCTACTTTTGTTTACATTATCGTTTGGATGTTATTAAAGTATCGTATCAAGTGTTTACAATAGACGCTTTTGTTTTCACTATTCTCAATTACTTTATAAACTGTGATAAATCTTAATGAAATAAATAAACGTAAAAATTAAGTAATAATGAAAAATAAAAACATGGATAAATTCTATTGTTCCTTCTTGCTGCTCCTCGACTCCTGCATTTGACACAGTGATTTTTCCTCGATCTGATTTTTTGCTTCTTTTGACGCTGAATTGCTTTTCTACATTGAATCTTAACTGAAGCAACAAAAAGAAGCTTCGAATAAATAATATAATACTATTGTTGGTATTATTGGTAGTTCTGTACTATGATCATTAATACTGTACATTACTAAATAAACTTTGCATTTATAACATTTAATTTACTTTCATATTTATTTTCATTCATAATTTAATTGAGTGTCCCATACATACATACACACATACAGACAGAGAGACAGACAGACAGACAGAAACAGAGTGACCAAGAAAGATAGAGAGAGAGAGAGAGAGAGACAACCACACCGACAGAGAAACACACAAACACAACAAACACCATGAAAACAGACACACTAACACCCGCCCTGAGAGGTGTGTGTTTTTGTGTCGAGGTCTCGGAAATAACTGACTCACCTGACCTTGACGAGCCTGGTACCCTGATGTCTGGCTTATATATAAACAAAGGACTATATTACATTGTCAGATTACTTACTGTTTATCGTCTCTTACGCGTTTATGTTTGTTATGTAAGACCTTTCGTTCCTGACTCTTGATGAATCAGGTCGTTAGATGGTGTAGTATCGTGTTGAGTCCGTGTAATTGGTGACAAGGTGTTATGCCAGTTTACCTGTTGTTTCAATGTGTATGACAGTCAGGTACCAGTAATAATGACCATTATCCCATGACGAGGAATGTCTTGAAGTGACAGGTGTCTCTCTCTCTCTCTCTCTCTCTCTCTCTCTCTCTACACAGGTAAATTAACAGGAACAAAGGATTGATTTTGCTCACAGACAACCCTCATGTCAACAACAGGTGGTGATCCAGCTCCCCTCTCCCTCCCCTCTCCCTCTCCCTCTCCCTCTCCCTCTCCTTCCCAATCTCCCCTTTCCTCCTCGCCGATCTTTTATCTACTCACCCCTCTCCCCTCCCTTCTTCATCCCTCTCTTCTCTTCCTCTCCAAGAACTTCGTTATGCCTAATGTTCACTCCTCCTCTCCTCTCCAAAACGTCATCACACCTCCCCACACCTCCCTACACCTCCACACCTCCCCACCACACACCTGGAAGTTGGGAATGTGTGTGTGTG